GGGAACTTATCCCATTATTTTTAACGTTTTTAAAAATGTTTGAAAAATGTTTTTTAAATGTTTCTTAAAAACATTTTTTAAATATTATTTTGCTGATTGGGTCCTCGATTGTGTGTGTGTCCGTTTTCGGATCAGCGATATCGTATCTGTTCGTTTATTTGCCAATACAGTCTCCCATCCACGCGAACCCGTGTCACACCTTGAATCGGGCAGAAACTGATATACAGGATAAATATAGCAGACCAGCGTATAGTTCACATATACCGCATTCGCCGCTGATAACGCTACAGTGCGATTTTAGTGCGCGCTGCGAGTATTCGAGTGCTCTTCAACAAACGGGCTCAAATGAGCGTTCTCTGACACAGGTATACGCTTACTTATTAATAAATCGCCGCCAAACCGAAGAATTACACAAATTCGCAAGTGATAAGCTAGTTACAATTCCCACAACAAAAAGAAAAGTTTTTGACAAAAATCGTGAAGAAATAGCTCGTGTTTAAAAGGAAGACGGACCAAGACCTTATTGATTTTGAAGCATCCCGAGTCGAAATTTTAGACCTATTTTCGACCTAAATTTTCTAACATCTGTAGATGCTAGAGGATCAATGTAGGTTTAATTTACATGGAAACTTTAGTCCTACTTAGCGTCTTTAAAATAGCAGAAAACACACAAAATGCTACTTGTAGGTTCTAAAAGAGGACTTCAGTATTAAAGCCTCGTAAAAGCTTCTAGGTCCTAAAAGTTATTGTAAGTCTCGAATTTAACACGTTCGCTACCGCTGGAAAACTATTGGAACCGCTATACAGACTTCATTTTTACGAGTACGCACAGAGTATGCTGCACATTTTCACTTCCGCACATGCATATATAAAAATAGGCAACTGAACATGTTACATAATGTGTTGCACATTGCGATATAAAATGTGTTTCGTAGAAAACCCATTTTTTGTTCCCTTGCCACAATAAGAAACTCTTCTTTCGTTATCTTGTTATAACAGTGAGACTACTGATGCGCGGCATAAGTGTAATGGTTCTAGCGTTATCCTCGCACTCTGTATGTATTAATCATACTCTTCGTAATAAAAACATTCATATCCTTCGTAATAATACATAGATTTCAATATAATGACATATTTAGACGTGTTTAATTTACATTATTGGTTTCAAGAAAAAAAATTAGAAAATAGTGAAGCAAATATTTCTTTACCAGCAGCGATCAATATCATTTTTTATTTTTTTATTTATTCCACTGATATCGAATGAAAAACTTTCGAAGAAAGATTACAAAGTTTATGATTATAGTTATCAGGAGAAGTATTATATTATTGTACATTTTCTACGAATGGTGATAAGACTCTTTTTCTGTTCGCTCACATCCCACTCGGCAAGTAATATTTCAGAAACATTTCTGCAAAATTCTAATTAAAATATTACACCTTTCATCAATATTTCAGAAACATTTCACGACCGTTTCTACATCATTTCAACAATGTTTCAATGTCCGCAATTGTTTCAAATGCATCCTTGCTAAAAGATTTCGGCAATATTTCGATAACATACTGAAATATTTCTACAAAATATATATATATTGCATAAATACTTCAGAGATATTTCAAATACATTTTACACTGAGAAAAATGTTTTGTATTAGCAAACAAAATTTTGTTACTGACGCAAAAACTATTTGTTGATATGTGAAAAATGAAATATTTTGTTACCGGAACAAAAAAAAATATATTAAACCATCCATGTGCGTATAGCCGCCGCGCGTTTGTCCGAAGAAATCCTCTCTCTCAGCCGGTCACCCATGCATCCAAGCAGTATACCGGCGGGCGCCTTGTTGCTTGACATCGGTGATCGAACAGGGTAGTGGTGATCCTCTGGCTCTGACGTTTCTTTCTTTTTTATACTTACTTATTTTGGTAAGCATAAGGCTATCGCATAACAATATTAACAATACAAATATACGAATAAATCTTTTTTGCCAGTCAGCGTCGAATATTATTTTATATTAAATATTATTAAATATTTTATATTTTATATTAAAAATGCCATATGACAAAATTTGGAATATCAGAAAATTCTTAATAAAAGAAACAAAATGCAATAAAATGCAACAATTATATAATAATAAATTTAATTTTATATAAGTTCTAAAGTCTGCCAGCAACTTTTCAGAAATATTACAAATGTACTGTTGTAAAAACATTCAAAAATATAACGCGTGCAATGTAAACGTAATAATAGTTTATTATTTATCAGAGAAATGTTTCTGAACCATTACATCTGCAATATTTCTTCCGCAATATTGTAGAAATTCACTGCTTGCAACTCAATTTTTCATTACCTACGCAATTTTTCAGAAATATTTTAAATGCAATGTTGCGTTTGATTATGTTACAGAAATATTATTCATGCAAAGCAAACGTAATATTACTTTTATAATGTTTCAGAAATATTTCTAAAATATTGCATCTGCTACATTTTTTTGCAATATTACAGAAACTTACAAATATTGTAAACAACTTTCTGAAAGATTTTAGAAATATTGTTAATGCAATATTATAAAAAACATGATGCAGGTACATTTATAAAATATTTCAAATGCATAGTTACAAATAAAATGTTAACAAAATATTTCTGCACCATTTCCGAATATTTCAATATTTCAGCAACATAACATGCCGAGTGGGAAGCAAGAGGAGCAGCAGGAAGTTTGGAAATGGTGGGAGGAAGAGAAGAAGAGTGATGGCACGAAATGGCATTTCTTGGAACACAAGGGACCAGTATTTGCGCCACCCTACGAACCCTTACCTTGTACCGTAAAGTTTTACTATAACGGCGAGAAGATGGAGCTGAGTAAGAAGACGGAGGAAGTTGCAACCTTCTACGCGCGCATGCTTGACCATGTCTACACGAAAAAGGATACGTTTAACAATAACTTCTTCAACGACTGGCAAAAGGTGATGACCGAGTCGGAGCGCGAAACGATCACCGATCTGACCAAGTGCAACTTCAAGGAGATGCACGCGTACTTCTTGCAGCAGAGCAAGGCTATGACGAAGGAAGAGAAGCAGAAGATCGAGGAGAAAAACGAGGAGATACAGAAGGAGTATGGCTTCTGCACCATTGACGGCCATAAGGAAAAGATCGGTAACTTCAAGATTGAGCCGCCCGGCTTGTTCAGGGGCCGCGGCAAGCATCCCAAGATGGGCAAGCTAAAGAAGCGAGTGTTGCCGGAGGACGTGATCATTAATTGTTCAAAGGACTCAAATATACCAAAACCACCGGCCGGCCATAAGTGGAAGGAGGTGCGACACGATTCCAATGTCACATGGCTCGCGTCCTGGACGGAGAACATTCAGGGACAGGTGAAGTACGTGATGCTGAATCCATCCAGCAAGCTCAAAGGTGAGAAGGATTGGCAGAAGTACGAGACGGCGCGGAAGCTGGCGAAGTCGATCGACAAGATTCGCGCTGAGTATCGAGATGACTGGAAAAGCAAGGAGATGCGCATTAGACAGCGAGCTGTCGCTCTGTATTTCATCGACAAACTGGCGCTCAGAGCCGGTAATGAGAAGGACGAGGATCAGGCGGATACTGTGGGCTGTTGCTCGTTGCGAGTGGAGCATATCCAGCTACATGAGCAGAAGGACGGCAAGGAATACGTCGTCGTGTTTGATTTCTTAGGTAATAATTGAATTATTGCAATTGTGATACATAATCAATATACTTATAATTAAAATAGTTTTTTTATCTCTTAATATTATAATATAATGTAATTACGTGATTCTATGGAATTAATTAT